CCACTCAGTTGGTGGCCTTAAGGCAGGCGTCCTCAAACTACGGCCCTCGGGCCACATGCGGGTGATTTTGCCTGTTTTTTTTTTTTGTTGTTGTTGTTTTTCCTTCAAAGTAAGATATGTGCAGTGTGCATAGGAATTTGTTCATAGATTTTTTCTTTTAAACGATAGTCCGGCCCTCCAGCAGTCTGAGGGACAGTGAACTGGGTGCCCTGTTTAAAAAGTTTGAGGACCCCTGGGTTAAGAGAACAAAGACTGAGCTTCCCCCAGCAAGAAGGAATTTTGCCAGGAGGTTGCTCTTGGACTCACTGCAACTCTAGCCTGAGTCTCTAGGCTGCTGGTCTCTGGTCCGATTTTGGACTCACCAAGCCTCCATGATCACATGAGCCAATTCCTTAAAATAAATCTCTCTCTGGATCTATACATACATTACACCTTTAACTTTGATTCCTAAACCACTCACCATCCCACACTACTCTCACATCCAAACCTCACTGTAGCTGCCAAATAAATCGCTTCTGTTTAAATTTTTTTTTTTTTTTTTTTGAGACAGAGTCTCACTTGTTGCCCAGGCTAGAGTGAGTGCCGTGGCGTCAGCCTAGCTCACAGCAACCTCCAACTCCTGGGCTCAAGCGATCCTCCTGCCTCAGCCTCCCGAGTAGCTGGGACTACAGGCATGCGCCACCATGCCCGGCTAATTTTTTCTATATATATTAGTTGGCCAATTAATTTCTTTCTATTTATAGTAGAGACGGGGTCTCGCTCTTGCTCAGGCTGGTTTCGAACTCCTGACCTCGAGCAATCCGCCCGCCTCGGCCTCCCAGAGAGCTAGGATTACAGGCGTGAGCCAGCTTCTGTTTAAATTTATATGCATGTGACATATTTAAGAGGTCTAGAAAAGAGTCTGATATTGGTAGGGGAGTCAATCTCCTAAACTTGTTCCTTCTCCTCCCTCCTCAAGACATAAACCATAAGCAATATGCATCCATTGCCAATAAATGAGCAGAACATATATAAGACGACACCACCAAGGGTAGAATATTCTAGGAAGATAAAGGCCTGAGAAACAGATCGGCTGCGGCTTTTGCCCTGAAGGGTCTTCAAGAAGTTACCATGTTTCCTGAAAATAAGACCTACCCATAAAATAAGCCCCCTAACAGGATTTCTAAGCATGTGCCCAATAGAAGCCCTACTCCAAAAACAAGCCCTAGTGAGGGGCGTGGCTATGAAAATCAGCCCTAGTGATGGGCGTGGCTATGAAAATCAGCCCTAGTGAGGGGCGTGGCTATGAAAATCAGCCCTAGTGATGGGCGTGGCTATGAAAATCAGCCCCAGTGAGGGCGTGGCTGCGCAGCATCTGCACAGCCCATGCTCATCTCGGAGTGGGAAAGAACATGAACAGCCCTTCTCATCCGCCCCGTGAGAGCTCCAGTGCTCCACAGGAGAGATCAGGCCAGTAGTTCTAAAGGAAATACAGTCACAAGACATTCAGGATGGGATCCAGGGTCTGGAGAGTGAGGATGATGTTCCAGAAGAAGACGACTTCACTCTATTTGAATCAATGTAGATGGTTGTACCCTACTTAAAAAAAAAAAAATAACACATGCCCTGAAAATAAGCCCTAGGGTGTCTTCTTGAGGAAAAATAAATAGAAGAACTTGTCTTCTTTTCAGGGAAACACAGTACCACATGGACCTCCCAAAGTCAGGCAAACGTTTTGCTGTCAAAATCCCAAAGGAAGATCAACTTTAGATTTTCTTGCCAAATCAAGTCATTCTTAAGTCAGGTATGCACAGGGCAAGAAGGAACTTCCATGAAGACCTTGTTAGATCTAGAACAAATGGACCCAACAGACATCTCCAGAACATTCTATCTCAGAACCACTGATCTACATTCTATCTCAGAACCACTCGATCTACATTCTGTCTCAGAACCACTGGATCTACATTCTATCTACAGAACCACTGGATCTACATTCTATCTCAGAACCACTGGATCTACATTCTATCTCAGAACCACTGGATCTACATTCTATCTCAGAACCACTGGACCTACATTCTATCTACAAAACCACTGGATCTACATTCTATCTACAAAACCACTGGATCTACATTCTATCTCAGAACCACTGGATCTACATTCTATCTACAAAACCACTGGATCTACATTCTATCTCAGAACCACTGGATCTACATTCTATCTACAGAACCCCTGGATCTACATTCTATCTACAGAACCACTGGATCTACATTCTATCTACAGAACCACTGGATCTACATTCTATCTACAGAACCCCTGTGTATTCTCTACAGAACCCCTGGATCTACATTCTATCTCAGAACCACTGGATCTACATTCTATCTCAGAACCACTGAATCTACATTCTGTCTCAGAACCACTTGGATCTACATCCTATCATCAAAAACCACTGGATCTAATCTCATGCAATTCTACTCAGAACCCACTGATCCTACATTCTATCTAGCAGAAACCACTGGATCTACCATTCTATCTCCAGAACTACTGGATGCTACATTCTAGTCTACCAAAACCACTGGATCTACATTCTATCTCAGAACGCCTGGATTATCTAATTCCTATCTCTGAACCACTGGATCTACATTCTACATCTATCCAGAACCACTGGAAATCTACATTCTATCTACAGAACCATGGATCTACACATTCTACGTTCAGAACCCCACTGGATCTACATTCTATCATACAAACCCACGTGACTCTATCATCTATCTCAGAACCACTGGATCTAACATTCTATCTCCAGAAACGCAGCTATGGATCTACCATTGCTATCCTCAGAACCCTCCTGGATCTACATTCTATCTACAGAACATGATCTGACTTCTATCACAGACACTGGATCTACTATTGCTATCTCGAACCACTGGATCTAGCATTCTATCTAATCAAAATACCACCTGGATCTACATTTATCTCAGAACCGCCTGGATCTACATTGCTATCTACAGATCAGAACCTGGATCTACATTTCTATTACAGAACCCACTGGATCTTACATCTATCTATCAGAACCACTGGATCTACATCTATCTACAAAGACCCACTTGGGATCTACATTTCCCTTACAGTAACCACTGGATCTACAATTCTGTAATCTCAGAAACCACGGATCGTACATTCTATCTCAGAACCCGACTGGATCTACATTCTATCTCAGAACCACTGGATCTACATTCTATCTCAGAACCACTGGATCTACATTCTATCTCAGAACCACTGGATCTACATTCTATCTCAAGAACCATGGACGTACATTCTATCTCAGAACCACCTGGATCTACATGTCTATCTCAGAACCACTGCACTGGATCTACAATTCTATCTACAGATACCACTGGATCTACATTCTATCTCAGAACCCCTGGATCGTACGATTGCTATCTCAGACCACTGGATCTTCATTCTAGTCTACAGAACCACTGGAGTCTACATTCCTATCTACAGAAGCCAACTGGATCTACATTCATATCCTCAGAACCACTGGATCCTATCATTCTAGGTCTCAGACCCACTGTCATACATTCTATCTCAGAACCGACTGGGATCTACATTCTATCTACAGAACCACTGGATCTACATCTATTCTCAGAACCACGGACTACATTCTATCTCAGAACCCAGCTGGATCCCACATTCTACACTACGAACCACTGGATCCCACATGTAGCTACAGACCACTGGATCCTACATTCTATCAGACCACTGGCATCTACATTTCTATCTACAGAACCACCTGGGGTCTACATTCTATCTATCAGAACCAACGGATCTACATCAACTACCAGAAACAC